AGGCTATTTGTATACATATCCCTTTCATCATTGGGTGAAGGCTGCTCCCAGGAGACGTCAATTCCTTGCCATTATAGCTTGGTGTGCACATGGATAGAACAGCTTTCTGTGGTTTCTTGAACACATCTCAGGTGAATAGAGGCAGCTCCTGGCAGTTGGAAACCTGGAGGAACACACTGAATTATTAAGGGCTGAGGATGGGACCCTGCTTCCTACCCCTGGGTTGAGGGTACAGCATCATTTCCCAGCTGGTGGGTCAATAAAAGTTAGTTTTCTTTGTAGAGTGGCCATATAATTTATCGGAACTATGACACTTTTAAAAGCGAAGGGGACGCTATTAACAATTATGCCAGGACAGTAGGTATGAATGGGGATGGCTCCAGGCATGCCACGTGGACAGTCACTCTGCCTCTCTGGATACCCTTCCCATCTGGGCCTATGAACTTCTTCCCTCTTGTTTTTGTGTTAACAAATTCTACAGTGATTAAAACCACTGAGGAAAAGGGCAGCCAGAGTCCTATCTGTGTGGTTGGGTGTATCACAAAGACTATGGAAGATGTAAGAGATTCATTCATTCATTTACTCACTCACCAAATACTAAATATCTACTTTGCTCCAGGCACTGTCCTAGACTTGCAGGACACAGAGATGCCCAGGGCAGCACTCCTGCCCTCAAAAGATTCTAGCCAAGCAGACGAGACAGATGTAAGATCAAATAAATTACAATACAGTATGTAACTGTAATGCCAATGTTTTCCTAAATTACACATGGAACACAATGATAGCACTGCAAGGATGCACAAAAGGAATATTTAACTGAACACCTACTAAGCCTACTATGCACTAGCATTGTTCCAGATCATGGGGAATTACTGACAACAAGACTCCTATTTTCAGATAATTGTACACCAATGATCATTGAGTGGATAAACAAAATGTACCATATACATGTTATAAAATATTAGTTAATATAAAAAAGAATAAAATTCTGATACATGCTACAACATGGATGAACCTTGAAAACATTATGCTAAATGAAATAAGCCAGTCACAAAAGAACAATATTGTATGATTTTATTTGTATGAATTACCAAGAATAGGCAAATTCATAAAGACAGAAAGTAAAAGAGGAGTTACCAGGGGCTGAGGGGAGAAGAGACTGGGGAGTTATTTAATGGGGACACAGTTTCTATTGGGATGATGAAAACATTCTAGAAATAGATAGTGGTGATGATTGCACAGCAATGTGAATATACTTAATGCCACTGCATTGTAAATTTAAAAATGATTAAAATGGTAAATTTCATGTCTTGTATATTTTACCACAATGTTTTAAAATACCTATTTTTGTAGAGCCTACATTTTGGAAGTGGAGACAGACAAATAAATGAATAGATAATGAACTAGGATAATTCTAGATTATGATAAGTACAATGAAGGAGAGAGAGGGATACGATGGAGGGAATGGGGGAGTTTATTTTGGGGTCCTCAACATGTGTTTACCAACAGCAGTTTCATACCCCTAGAGAATTAAGACTAAGAGAAGAATGTTGGAAGACAGGGTTAGAAAAGCAGTTGCAGGGCAGGGTCCACGTTACAGAGAATCATGCACATGAAGATGCTTCGGCTTTATCCTGAGACCCAATGAAGAAAGGCAGTCATGTGGTAAGCTTTGGCCACAGTGCACGGGAAGCATTGGTGGGTGAAGCCAGATGCAGAAACACATGTGTAGGAGGCTGTTTCTGTTATTCTGCTCTGCAGAGGAAGTCCTCAACTTGGGTGGTGGCAGAGGACAAGAGAGGTGGAGAAGAATTCCATGTGTAGAATCAACAAAGCCTGGGGGTTGGTCAAATGTGGAAATTGAGGGGCAGGAAGGAATCCAGGTTTCTGGCTTGGGAGACTGGGTGGATGGTGGTACATCAGCTAAGCTAAGGATCAGAGCAGAAGAAAAAGACGAAGAGTTTAAGATTTAACATGTTGAGCTTGAAGGGTTTGTGGAAGCTGTTGATAGATGGCTCTGGAATGTAGGAATGACCGGAAGCAGAAATACAGATTGTAAAACCAGTGCAGTGGCTCACACCTGCAATCCCAGTACGTTGGGAAGCCAAGATGGAAAGATTGCTTGAGCTTAGGAGTTTGACACCAACCTGGGCAATGTAGGAAGACCCCATATCTACCAAAAAAAAAAAATTAGCCAAGCATGATGGTATGCACCTGCAGCCCCAGCTACTTGGGAGGCTGAGGCAGGAGGATCGTTTGAGCCTGGGAGACAAAGGTTGCAATGAGCCAAGACCATACCACTGCATTCCAGCCTGGACGACAGAGTGAGACCCTGCTGCTTTCTCTACATATGATGGAATCACATATACTAAAGAAGAGTTAAAAATCACAGGGATAGCTGACAATTTCTTAGATGTGAGTACAGGGTGAGAAGAGGGCCAGAGTCAGGACCCTGGGAAACACCTAATAGAAAACAATGGAGACACAGGGGAAAAGGAAATATGATCAGCAAGGCAGGTCATCAGGAGGCAGAAGTAGTCACCAGACAATCGCCATCATATTGAGCAGTCAGGAGGATTCCATGGGGGTTCAGCTTAAACATTCCTTGCTCCAGAAATTCTTTCCTGGCCCAAGAAAGAATAGGCTGAGCCTGCTAAGTGTTCCCATGTTGCCAGAACTCCTGGTCCTGGCAATGATCAATCTCCATTGTAATAATCCCAGAACCAGGACTGTCTTCCCCATTAGGCTGGAGGCTCTGTGAGGAAGTCCCAGGCTAATCCCTCTCACCATTGCCTCCCTGGTGTTCCACACAGTACCCGACATGCAATAGCAACTCGGTGCTCTGGTAGATGAGTGCATACATGAAGGAATGATTAATTAGTGTGTGTGTGTGTGTGTGTGTGTGTGTGTGTGTGTGTGTGTGTGTGGTGTGTATGTAAGAAGGATTTAGGGTATGAGTTACTGGAATTCTCAGGTTCAGGT